TGAGGATCGAACCCGGGCCCCATCCTTGCTAAGGGAGCACTCTACCGCTGAGCCACAACCCCAGCCCCACTCTATAGGTTCTTAATCAGAAAATGGCAATCCTTAATGCTAGATCCTGCAATAGACATAATCAATCCACAGAAAACAATTCTAGGTTAATTCTAAACCCTGCAAACACAGTTAATCATGACAGGCTCATGACAGACATTCCCTCTGCAGGCTAAGCTCAGGTGTCAGATCAGGTCTCAACCTTAGGCTCTAAGTCCAGCAGATGCCCACTCACTCAGACCGAGGTGATCAGGACAGGAACCAAGGCAGGCTTCTCCTGGGGTGGCGCTGACGGCTGGCTGAGGAGGCGGTCAGAGGGAGAAGTCCTTTTCTCACCAGGGTCAAGAGGCTGCTGTAGAGTTTGAGAATGGTGAGAACAACGCAGAGCACCAGGCAGAGGAGAAGAGTTGGGATGTCAGTCCAGGTCCTCATCAGGCTCTCAGTGTGAGGGCATCGGTGTTGGCTGGCTGAGTATCTCTTCATTTGCTCCTTCTTTATACTACGTTTTGGGGCTTCTGACGGTCCCTTCAATCCCTATCAGCTGCTACTGGATTTTTCAGTGACGTCATTGTCCTGAGATTAAAGCATCTGGTCTGGTGGTCCCCACCCTGATTTTCTTGCTTCTTTCAGGGTGAGGGCAACATGCCAGAGTGGGGAGAAGTGACTTTTTGGTGCCTGACAGCCATACTGGAAGGCTCGTAGGTGCCTGGTGAGGCTGCAGGCTTCAAACTGGAGTTTTAAAATGAAGTTCCTTGGGCTAAGGCCTAAGGTCATCCTGAATAGGGGTCATATACTTTATTACGGCAAAATGGTGCCTCAGCTCCAAGGCACAGGAGTGAAAGAAAGAGGGTCCTCTTAATAATCGTGTGGACAACAGTCATGCACCAGCCCTGGACCAGCAGACCAGGACAAGGATTCATTTCGATTATAAAGAGAATCCAGCAGAGGAGTGTTGTGCTGTGGCCCCAGAGGCCGCTGTTGCTGTGGGAGTCACTGGGTGGTCCTGGATGGCCTGTGAGCATCAACCTGGAGAAATGGAAGATACCAGAATAAAAGCATTGAGGAAGCATCAAGGAGCACCTGGGCAGAGCGCCAGCAATTTAATTCAGGATGAAGGAGGCTCTGATCAGCTTTGCAAGTGCAAAAGAGAGATTAGCTTAAACTGCAAAACGTGCCATTTATGTTAGATCCGAGAAGAGTTCCCTGTGCTGAGAGGGCATTTCAGAGACTCCCGTGCCAGGGCCTTCTGGGGCCTTCAAAGCAGCAGGAACTCAGTTCATCCTGGGCCAAGAACTACCAGCTACAAGGAAGCCAGATAAACGAGCAGCTGCCTGAGCCCCTTCCAGCTCTGGATTCCAAGATAAGATAAAGCTATGGGTTGTAAGAAATATTCCAAAGATGACCAAATAGTTCTAGTCAGGTAAGAAATGGTTCCAAACACCTATGATGTTAAAGCACAGACTTTGAGGAAAATAAAGGGGAAAAATTCCTGAAGAACAACCCAACACACGCTTAACAACTACTGGTGACGAGGAAAGAAACAATCCTCATGTTTTGTTTACCTAGAGTTTAGAAGAATAATTGCAAGAAAAATCTTTCCCAGCAGCATTCCTCATAAAACTTGTTAAAAAAATTTAAAAAAAGCAACTTTTTTCCCCTTGAGTACATATCTGAAGGAGATAAGGCTATTCATGCATTACTTTAAACCAAATGTCTTCAGCTATAATTAATTTTTATTTTGAAATATTTTCAAAACAAGCATCTTTATGATGCATCATATTTGAGATATTCATTTCCCTGGATTTTCCCTTTAACATTGGCTAAGGTTTTTGTTTTATATTTTTACAACCAAAAATAGCATTTTGAATATTCAGCTGATATTAATAAAACCAAGCAGGGTTAGATCTTTTCAGCCAGTTAACAGCAGCTGGTGAGTGGAAGGCGCTCTGGGCTGTCCTGAGAGTGGGTCTCCTGTACCCATGCTGGTCACACTAACAACAAGAGCAAGTTGCTGAATTTCTTGGAGTCCCAGGTACGGCACAACATCAGGGGCCTTTCTGCTGCGAGTGACAGAAATGGAACAGGGACATCTGCTGTGTCACCCAGAAGAAAGCTGGTGACATGATAGCCCAGGGAAGATGATTCAGAGTTACCGAGGGCCAGCTTTTCTCTTTGCTCTGCCATCTCATTCATGGTCATTCTCAGGCTGGCACGAGAAGACGGAGGTATCATGTCCAGGTGTGATAACATCCAGAGGAGGAGAAGAAGTCCCCTCTACAACTTTTCTAGGGTTGCCTTTGGATATTGTTCCTCCATATCTCATCAGCCTGACTGGGGCCTGTGCCCTTCCTAATTTAATCTCTGGCCTAAGGAATGTGTTACTATCCTGAGTTCAGACAAACCCTCTGGCAAGGTTTAGATGATGGATAGTTGACAATGTTCACCCAATGAGGACATTTTAAAAAAAAAATATATATATATATTTAGTTGTAGATGGACACAATACCCCCATTTTGTTTATTTTTTATTTTTATGTGGTGCCGACTATCGAACCCAGCGCCTCGAATGTGTGAGGCAAGTGTTCCACTGCTGAGCCACCATCCCAGCCCCCAAAGAGGATATCTTATAGTGCTTTGGAAGAGCACCACTGGCGGACACTTCGTAAACAAGAACACCATCTAAACATGCAAATTGTCGTAGTTATTTAAATATTCACAACGTTTTTATTTAAATATTGTTCAATTGAAAATGCCACAATGATAAAAGAGAGAACTCATAGAATGTCTAAAGCTTGTCCTTCAGAAGAGTATGTGGTTCTAGATTTTCCTTCCCTGAAAATCTTTCAGCACCATGCTTTGGTGAAGGCAGAGGACATCAACAGAGGACTCTGTAGCACCTAACACCCATCATGAGGAAAGAGAGGGACACCACACCTTATGCTCCAGTGTGGCACATCATGAGGTTCAGATAAAAATGTACTATTCTTACAATAACCAGATCAGAGCCAGGTGGCTAGTAAGACCTAGAAAAGATGTGATCTCCTCTAGTAGTCAAAGAGGAATACAAATCACAGCATCTCCACTTGTATGAAAGTCATAACTTCTCTGAGCCTCTGAGTTTCCTGATCTGTACCATGAGACAAATAATATTTATCTCAAACATCTCACACGTTGAGGGGATTTCATGAAATATCCCTGAAAAGTATTAATGATAATGTTTATCAGAAAAGCAAATGTTCAATAAATGGTACCCATGGAGGACATATAGTAGGTTATTTTCAAAAATTATCATTTTATAATGATGATAAGATATACCAGAAAATGTCAAGTCTCAATAAATTCAATAAATTCAAGTCAACAGATACTTAACAGCATCTCCTGAGAATATCTTCAGTTTGTAGGAGTGGAGTAGTGGCAGGAAAGGAGGGAGGCAAAGACTGTCTAAGAGTCAGTCCGTGGGGCCAATCACAAGATACCTAAGCATCATGCTATGAACAGGTCAAAGAGCCACGAGTGTGGATGCATGTGTTTCTGCACAAGATTTATTTTTGTATTCAGGATGGGTATCTTTGACTTTTGTTTTTAAGTTGGCTTTGTAGAGATGTGATTTACATTCAGTAAAATGCACCCAGTTTAGGAATACACTGTGATGAGTTTTGACAGTGTATACAATGTGTGATCAACACTACCACCTAGAAAGTTCCCTAGTCACAGGCAATCATTGTTCATCTCTCAGTCACTCTGAATTAATTCAGCCTTATGGTTTCCAAACTTTGTCAAGGCCCCCTAACATGCACAGCAAATTCACAGAACACCATGGATGTTTCAAGTTTTGGGGGGTACATGGCAATATGTGTTCAGTGCTGTGGGAGCCACTATTACAAAATTGTTTGGACCTAATGACTCAATAAATGCAACTGTTAGGTATTTCTTTTGGCTGAGAAGCACTATGAAAAAATTACTGAGACACTAATAATAGCATTTTCAAGGCTTATCCACGCTGTAGTACATATTACTATATCTTTTTTTTTTTTTTTTTTTTTTGCTGAGAAGTATTTTAGAATAGGGATGTAAGAAAATTTCTCTGTGGAAAGCTGCTACAAGCATACAAATTTTGAGTACATACGCTTTCACTTTTCTTGGGTAGATATCTCGATGCAGAATTCCTGGGTCATAGGTTAAGTATATGTTTAACTTTTTTAATAAACTGCCAAACTGTTTCCCAAAGCACAATTTTACACCCTCAGTTCCTCTACTTCTTTGCCAGCATGGTATCGCCAGTCTCTTTAATTTTAGCCATTCTGGTGGGTGTATGGTGCTATCTCAATACGATTTTTAAATTTGCATTTTCCTGATGACTAATGATGTTGAGAATCTTTTCATGTGCCTGTTGGCCATTTGCATATCTCTTTTAGTGAAGTTTGTTGAAATCTTTTGTCCATTTAAAAATATTGAATGGTTTATCTTCCTACAAATGAGTTGTAAACATTTTTATATGTCTTAATACATGTTTATGCACAGAAATTGTGTGTGTGCATGTGTGTGTGTGTGTGTACTTTTCTTGGTCAATGGTTTGTTTTTTCATTGCCTTTAATGGTGTCTTTCAAAGAACAAAAGCTTTCCATTTGGATGAGGTCCATCTTATTAACATGTTGGTTGGTGGTTTTTTTTTTTTTTTTTTTGGTATCCTAAGAATTTTTGTCAATCAAGGTTGCAAAGATTTTCTCCTATTTTTTCTAGATACTTGTAGTTTTAGCTTCTACCCTTAGGTGTGTGGCCCATTTTGAGTGTTTTTTTTTTGTGTGTGTGTGTGTGTGTGCGCGCACATGGCTTAGAGGTATGAGATTCATCTTTCTTTATGATATCCACTTGGTGAAGCAGCACTCAATAAAAAATTTATCCTGTTCATGCCGACTCCCTTTGCCACCTCTTGATGTGTGCAGCGTGGCTCTATTTCTTTCTTTCTTTTTTCTTTTTTTTTTTTTTTTTGTGGTGCTGGGACTTGAACCCAGGGCCTTGTGCACACAAGGCAAGCACTCTACCAACTGGAGCCCAATGTGGCTCTCTTTCTGGATTCTACTTTTCCATTCATATTGTGGCTACCCTTTGTCAATACCACACGGTGTTGATTACTGTAGCTTTATAATAAGTTTTGAAATCCAGGCACTATACATCTTCCAATTTTGTTCTTCCTTTCCAAAATTGTTTTGGCTAAATTATAAACTCTTGGCATTTTAATATAAACTGTAGAATCAATATGACATTTCTACAGACGAGCCTGATGGAATTTGAGAAACTCTTTCTTAAGCAGGGATGAGGCTGCCAGGTCGACCCCTCTGAAGACAGAAAATTTTGGTGGTGATTTAAACAGTGAATGAAAAAAATAAAGAAAAAAGGAAAGAAATCCCCCAAACTACTTTTCCAATTGCATTCTTAAATGTTTCAACATCTGTGGAAATGCAAAGCCCCTGAGAGGGCTAATACATTAAAGTTATAACCCTTTAGCAAGAAAGAATCTAGCTACTTTTCTATCCAGTGAATGTATTGAGATTGTAATGAAATAAGGACGTGATAAGGGGAAGAAATATACAAAACAAGGAAATTGGGGAGTGCTATGATTTGCCCCCCAAGGTTCATGCATTGGTATGTTTGGCCCTAGTTTGGAGTGTAGAGGCCATGTGGAAATATTAATGGTAAGAACCTAGTGGGAAGTCCTTCCGTCACTGGGGGCAAGCCCTCAGAAGGGCCCCTGAGTTAGTGAAAACCCCTGAGTTAGTTCTCTTGAGAGTGTTTTGTAAAATAAACAAGTCTGGTCTCCACGTAATCCTGGCCTCCCATCTGGCCATGTTATCTCTCCCTCTTGCATGTGTTCCCACCATGGTGCCATTTACCAGTAGGCCCTCACTAGAGGCCAAACCAGTGGGGCTGTCTAAGCTTGGGCTTCTAGCCTCCAAAACAATGAGCTAAATAAACCTCTTTTCTTTACAAAGTAGACTGACTCCAGTGTTTTATTACAGCAGTGAAACAGTGACTAATACAAGGAGTGCCAAGATAAGAATTTTCTACTCTAATTTTGTTTTGAAGGCCACAATTCAGAACTTATCTTCTCACAGGACACATGCCCAAAGTTCATTAAGCAGAAATGATGGAGCACAAACTTGTGACCTTGGTATGACTTTCAGGAAGTTAGGGTGACGTGGTGTTTGACGGAGACAAATAGTGAGATGTCCATGATGTTAGAGTACAAATAGAGTTAAAAGAATTAATGATTAACCAAAGATGAGCAGAATTGAAAGGATGACAATAAAGTTGGAAGATGGTATTTGTGACATAGGAAAAAAACAGCTTTTAGAGCCCAAATGTCCTAGATTCATGCCCTGTTTCCCCACTTTCTTATTGTGCAATATTAGAGCAAGTAGACCATAACATAAATTTTGCAGTTTGCCTGGAGGATTAAACAAGATCTTTCCAGCTACTTCCTGGATATCACGGGCACTGCACATTCAACAGGCCCAAAAGTGAAATCCCATTTCCCTCCTGAACAGGCTATTTTCCTTCTTGGTGACCCACTTAATACCTGACCCTAATCTTAATCCCCTCACTACTGAAGCAGGTCTGTACCTTTTGAAACAGCTCAGAATCTTTAGGATACGTTTTCCAAATTTGATATTTTCCCCCAACATAGAAACAAATATGCAAAACAAAACCAACTACACCCAGCCTCCTCTGCTGCCAGCATGCAGACAGGTGACGTAGAACCCACCAGTCAGATGCCAAGTGGAGCAGGGTGAAGGAAGACGCAAGATGGGGAGGGGTCATTTCCATTTTACTGGAATCGGTACGCACAGACACAACACTGTTCTGGAATCTTCTTCCCATCTTCACCAGGGATTTGTTTCTGGAAACAGACCTGAGGCTGATCCATTGTCTTCCCAAGATTCTTGTAGGGCCTGGTGTGGTGGCGCACCCCTGTAATCCCAGTGGCTTGGGAGGCTGAGGCAGGAGGACCGCAAGTTCAAAGCTAGCCTCTGCAAAAAAGCAAGGTGCTGAGCAACTCAGTGAGACCCTGTCTCTAAATAAAATAAAAATGGGGTTGGGGATGTAGCTCAGTGGTTGAGTGCCCCTGAATTCAATTCCTGGTACTCCCCCCCCCCAAAAAAAAGATTCTTGTAGGTACTTAATATAATACTACATCATAATTCTCTATTCTTTAAATTATCTTCAGTAGATTCTGTTGTCCAGTTCATAACCCAGATCCAAATCCTGGAAGCAATACATAGTAAGTTCCCAAGCCAGGAACCCCAAGGCCAATCCCTGACTCCTTTCTCTCTTTCTCACCACTGTGACCCATCGGTCACCAAGTCTTGCTGATGCATCTTATGATTCTATTTTCTCCCTTTCTACTGTCCTATCTAGTCACACCACCATCATCACTCATCTTGATTTTGGCAAAACTTATAATGCGTCAAAGAAAATATGGGATAGCCATACAATGGTGTATTATCCGGTCAAATGGAATAAAGCTCAGATTACAACATGGAGGAACCTGTAAAACCCACTGAGTGAAAGAGGCCAGACCCATGGGCCATATAGTATGTGATCCCCTCTATATGACGTAACCAGAATAGGCCCATCCATGGAGACAGAGAACAGGTTCATGATAGCTAGGGACTAGGGTGGGGAGGGAGGGCCAGTGGGGCTTCTTTTGGGGAAGTGGACATGTCCTGGAATCAGTGAGTGCCGATGGCCACACAACATGACCCATGTGATAATGACACCGAATCATCCACTTTAGAACGCCAAATTCCATGCTGTGCGTAATTTACCAGAATAGAAAAATCAGCGACAAATGTGGACCATGACCAGGGAATGATTTTGCTGAAATATCCCTATCTTGGTCCTCCCCCAACCCTCTCTTACTGCTGCTCGTCTTAAGCTCTCTTTTCTTCTTTTTCTCCTCTTTAGAAGAGATACTTGGCTGTCTCCCAGGTTACACCTGGGGTTGAGTCTAAAGGGCTGGGAGACCCCACCCCACTTCCAGCTTCCTGGGCCCGAGGCACCTTTGCAGCCTGTCTAATTTCTCCTCTGGCCTGGTGGGATGTGCTGAGCTCTCAGAGAGAAGCAGGCTTTCTGCTGACACCTGAGGCTTTCTCCCTAAACCACATGGCTGGCCCTCAAGTGCCCTGCGAACCTCTTAGCTGGCCTGTCCCCTCGAGGCAATGGGAAAAGGAGGACAGAAGTTCTCTGGGCCACTTTCTGACTCTGCATCAGTCTCCACAACAATGTTTTCCAACCTGGTGAGTTTCCTTGGCAACCAAGTTAATAGTCACTCACTGCTTTCAACTCCCTGACTTCCTATTAATGCTTGTTCCGTTTTGAATAGTTTGTCTTTACTTGAAAAGAAACTGCAGAAGCTGCACTTTTGTTGTTGCTATTTTTTTTTTAACTTAGGTTTCTGCCAGGCTTTTTAAAGGGCCCATACAGATTTCTCCCATGAATGTTTGAAAACACAGTTAAGAGCAACCACAAATTGTACCTACTAAGCCCCAGGCACTGTTCCCAATGCTTTACATGTAACCATTTATTTAATCTCCGTGACAAGCCATAGGCAGTACCATTCTTAGACCATAGTGTAGAGTCATTTCTTCAGATCTTAGGGAGTACTTGCATTTTAACAGAATGCCAATGGCACTTGTCTGGGTGTGAGAACCAAAAGATGTTGCCATCTGGGCTCAGTGGTGCATGCCTGTGATCCCAGCGGCTTGGGAGGCTGAGACAGGAGGATCTCGAGTTCAAAGCCAGCCTCAGCAAACGTGAGGCACTAAGCAACTCAGTGAGACCCTGTCTCTAAATAAAATACAAAATAGGGCTGGGGATGTGACTCAGTGGCTGAGTGTCAACCCCAGTACTAAAAGAAAGGTTGCCAGATGAACCTGAATGTCTCCTGGGTGGCAAAGCCACCCACCGTTGATCAGATGATCTGAGGCCTCTTCCCTCTCAGATATTGGTTTATGAGTCTCTTCTATGCCGTCAACATAAAGAGCTGGGTTATATAACATCACCTCATTTGCATGTGGAGGGACCCGAATTTAGAGTCATCACTCAGAGATGCAGAAGGCTAATCGGATTCCTGCAATTTGCCACAAGGGTCTTTTCCTCTTAGTGGAAACAATTTCCATAAGGATCATGCTCCATTTCCACTCAGAAAAACAGCCTCACCCCTCAAGGCAATTCTGTGTTTTTCTGGTTAAAAATGAAGCCTCTTTTGAGTCAATTTCCTATCAGGCCTTTTCTATCTATCTTCATGATATCGTCCCTGGTAAGTAGTCCCTGAGCAACCCTCCTGTTTGGAACTCCCTGGAGGGGCAAGTTCAGTGGTGAGCACCCGGCTCCTTTCTCTGAGAGGAGATGGTCATCCCGGCATCCACCACCTGTGGGATCCCTTATGTTTACAGCTCTGCCTTTCCCGGCCAGGACAAACTCCGGCCTTCTGCGATCGATGGCAGTTCTCTCCTCTCCTCCAGCTCATCATCTCCAACAGCTCCTTCCTCTTTCTCTGGAGTCCTGGGTTTTTCTTCACTTGTTCTTTCCCATCAGTACAAAAACTTTCCTTGAACTCGGCTAGAGCTCCCACCCCATTTCTCTCATTTTCACAGTATAACTCCCTTTTTGTTTTTCTGTCTTCAATCTCTCTCCTCCATTCTCTTTTATTGGGCAAAAGACACATAACACAAAATCCATCATTTGAAGTGCACAACTCAGGAGCATCACGTGCATTCAGTGTCGTGCCACCACCAGCTCTACCTACTTCCAAAACCTTTTCACCCCTCCAAATGGAAGCCATGAACTCATTACGAAGCTACTTGTTGTTCTCCAGCTCTGCAGTTCCCCAGACCTTGGTAACCACTAATCTGCTTTTGGTTTCTCTAGGTTGACTTATTTTGGATGCTTCCTGTATATGCAGTCAGACACTATGTGCACCCTTCTGGCTGGTTTCTTTCACTCACTATAGACTTTTCAAGGTTCATTTGTGTGGTCGCATGTGTCTGTACTTCACTATTCCACTATGTAGACACACTGTTTTGTTTGTCCATTCATTTGTTGGTGGACGCTTGAGTTGTTTCCTCTCATTCTTTTAAAATCACCTTTAATCAGACTCTTGTTTCCATCATCCTACTAAAGCTGCTATTGTCAAGATCACCAGTGACTACTGCATTGCTAACTCTCAGAGTTGAGTCTCAGTGGTCACTTGACTTGTCTTGCCAACGGTGCCCCTCTTGCCTGGTCACTGTCTCTTCTGGAAACCCTTCTCCCCAGGGCTCGGAGCTCACACATTGTCTAGGTTTTCACTCTTGCTTCCCCATCACCTCTGCTGTTTTTGTCCCTTTTACTCTGGGAATATGGTCCTTGGATCTCTTTCCTATCTACTCTCTCCTTAAGTGATGTCAGCTAGTTCCTGGGATTTAAGTATCATTTATATATTGACAATGGCCTTGTTTCTATTTCTGCTTTAACATCTTTTCTGCATTCCCACTCTGTGTCTTCCTGCCTGCTTAGCGTCTCTCCTCGGATGCTGAACCTCACCTGTTCAAACGGAGACTTGGATCTCTGATGACTGCAACTCCAAAAAAATCCTTGGTCGCTGAGATTGGGAGTCTTGGAATAGGCCTTGCGTTTTCACTTTCTCTTCAACCCCGTGTGTGCTCTTCGGCGGGTGAACCCTGCTCAGGCCTTTGTGCTTGCTGTTCCCTTGGTCTACAGTGCACTTCCCTGATTTCTGCTCTGAGCACTTCCTCATCTGCAGGTCTTTAGTCACATGCCACCTCTCAGAAGCCCATATGAATTCGAGACTCCCCCACCTCCCCAGTTCCTGATCTCTCTTCCTGGATTAACTTTTCTCCTTAGTACTTACCATCATTTATACACTATATGGAGCATTTTAGTTACTTCTAAGTAGATTTTGTTTTGTAGCTGACGCCTTGTGCCAGATGCATTCCCAGTTCCTACAATGGAGACCAGCATAAGGTACTCACCTATTATTTGCGGAATGAATGCCTTCATTTCTTAAAAAAGCTGGTAAAATTTGTATTTAATAAATTTAAAAAAATAAAATAATAATACTAGATATCAAACGTTTTAAGGTACAGTGGTTAGCCAGGTGTGGTGGTGCACACCTGTAGTCCCAGTGGCTTGGGAGGCTGAGACAGGAGGATTGTGTGTTCAAAGCCAACCTCAGCAATGGCGAGCTTGATGTGGCTCAGTGACTGAGTGCCCGTGAGTTCAAACCTTGGCATGCCCCTGCCCCCCCAAAAGAGATATAGCGGTTAACCAAGAGCATCTTTAAAATACACATCAGCAGCTGCCAGCTGTGTGGCTGCTCCTGCCTCAGCCTGTAGACAGTTTTGTCTCTCCCCAGTGGAGCTTTCAGGACCAGCTCTGAGCAACTGCTCCCCTCTGCTGAGGCCTCAGGTTCCAGGTTTAGTTAACACTCTCTCCCTGCCCACTCTGTACAGAGGGCCCTTCCCTTCAGCCACCTTTTAAACAAAAGTAAAATGAAACTTAATGAGACATAATTTACAAAAAATGCCATGTACAAGAAATGTTTAGTTTGATGAATGTTAATAAATGTATTCACTCCTATAATCATCACCCTCATGAAGATAATCATCCATTCTATCATCCAAAGCTACCCCCTGTCCCTATGAAGGTAGCTGTCCCTGACAAGTAAACCAATAACCTTATTTCTACCATTCTGTTTTAGGGCTCCCTTTTATAGAGACAAATTCATAAATGAAATCATACAGTATGTCTTCCTTAGGGTATGGATGATTTTACTCAGTATAATGTTTTGGAGATTCATCCATATGATTGAGCACATTAGAAACTTGTTACCTTTTATTATGTTCTATTGCATAAATATACCTCTACTGGTTTATTCATTTATCTACCAAAGGACAGCTGTTTCTATTTTTGGCTATTCTGAATAAGTCACTATGAACATTCATGTCCAAATGATTGTGTGGATATATAGATATATGTTTTTCTTTGTCTTAAGTAAATATCTGGGAGACTATTTGCTGAGTCATTTTATAAACATACGTTTGTTTAACTTCTTAAGATTTTTCAAAGTGATTAACTTCTTAATCACCTTTCAAAGTGATTGTGACATTTTCTACTTCTATCAGGGAATGTCCGAGTCCCAGTTGCTAATACTGGGTATTATTAATCTTTAACAATTTTAGCGATGCTAGTGAGTATGTCGGAGTAGCTTACTGTGGACTTAATCTGCATTTTCCTGATGACTAAGGATAGTTAGCATATTTTCATGTGCTCATCACCAGTTGTATATATTCTTTGGTGATATATCTATTCAACTCTTTTGCCCATTTTCTGTTTGAATTGATTTCCTCTTACTAGTCACTTGTAAGATTTATTTGATTTTTTAATATATTTGTCAGGTGTATGTACTGTGTGTGTTTTTTGTTAGTGTTTAGTATTTTCATTTTTGTAACAGTATTTTTCAAAGAGTGGATGTTTTAAATTCTAATAAAGTCTGGATGATCAATTTTTTTCTTTTGTGGGTAGTGATTTCTATTATTTGTCTGAGATGCAGATGAGGCTCTTTCCTTCCTTCCCTTTCTTCTTTCATGCGTGTCAGACCTGCATCATGGTCTAAAGTTCATAGTCTAAAGTTTCTCCCTGAATATTCCTGCTGTCTTCTCCTTCATGAGTTGTAGTTTCTATAATACATCTCTTGTGCGTCAAATCTGTTTTTGGTATCTTTTTTTTTTTTTAATATTTATTTTTTAGTTTTCGGCAGACACAACATCTTTGTATGTGGTGCTGAGGATCGAACCCTGGCCGCACACATGCCAGGCAAGCGCGCTACCGCTTGAGCCACATCCCCAGCCCCTGGTATCTGTTTTTTGGAGATCCCAAATAATACAGTTTCCTACTTGCTCTAAGTTTCTTGGATGTTCATATAAATTTTATAATAATCACATCAATTTTTCATTTCAGGGGCTGGGGATGTGGCTCAAGTGGTAGCGTGCTTGCCTGGCATGCGTGGGGTGCTGGGTTCAATCCTCAGCACCACATACAAATAAAATAAAGATGTTGTGTCCACCGAAAACTGAAAAAATTAAAAAAATTCTCCCTCCCCCCCTCTCTTTCTCTCCTCTATCTTTAAAAAAAGTTGCATTTCATCATAAATTTTATAATAATCATACCAATTTAGAACCTCCCACGGAAGGCTTTGGGATTTTTAAAATTTAAACTATGGATCAACTTGGGTAGTATGGACATCTTAACAATGTTGAATCTTTCAATCCACAAACATGATGAAATTCTTGATTTATTTAGATCTTTAATGTATTTCAGCAAGGTTCTGTAGTCTTCACCATTGAATTAGCATCTTTTGTGAATTTCTCTAAGCACTTCATGTTTTGTGATACTATGATCTTTTTTAAAGGAGTGATCAGCAAAATGGAAACAGGAGGATTGTGCCTGAGCTCAGTGGTAAAGAGAAGATTTTTGTTTTGTTTTGTTTTTAAGGTGTCAGGGGAGAAGTAGGGAGTTAAGGAGAGAGGAGAGATTGGATCAAGACATTTTACCAGGAAGCAGAGAGAGATTGGAGAGTGCTAAGAAATGGGAATAAAGCTAATGACTCATTCCTGAAGCAGCACATTATACCTTAAAACCAAATGACCCCTGGATATTTTGCACGGGACATACAAAAATGGTTTATCAGAATACTGAAAAGATTATAAAAGATATATATATATATATATATATATATTCTTATTGCATTCACTTCCTCAGATTTGTCCATTGGCAGGTGGTCAGGATGGGTTCCTGTCACTCAGGCCACTCACCTCCCAGGGCCTTAATTCCTGTGACTTGATTACACTTACCTCCTTTCCCGCTTTCCCCTGTTTAGGTGCCTTTCTCCAGGTTCAGTAGGGTCTTTAATCTCTTCCCTAAACTCTGGGCTAATGTTTGTAAATATTATGTTTCCAAGGAAACTTCTTTTGGAATTAAAAGCAAGGTTATTTCTCTATAAGAGATCTGTTTCTTTCCAATCAGAGGTGTTTTGCTCACAGGCAACCCTGCCTGCTGTGTCTGAAGGCATTTGTACAAGGCTTTTCACTTTATGGTTTTATGCTCTGTGCATTCTTCTTCTCTGAAGTTAAAGGAGATACTGATCTGGGCAGAGAGAATAGCAGAGCAGTGAGAACACTTCTGGAGAAAGAAGTACCACTTGTTACATCAGCTGCTTTCTTGGTTTTTGAATTCCTGTGCCTATGCAAGAAGGGCAGAAATGAAATCTGGAGGACAAACCCATAATTAAAAGCTTTTAGAGAAACTCTTAATAGCCTTTCCCAACTCCAAGATAATAAATTTTCTTGTCATCTCTGTGAGCCAATGGGAAGATATTTTTTTTTTTTTGTACTAGCCCAAGGGTTTCAGTTCCATTTCTCCACTGGGACAGACCTATTTTAGTCACCTTTTCCCTGCTGTGACTGAAGACCCAACAAGCACAACTAGAGGAGGAAAAGTTTATTTGGGAGCTCACAGTTTCAGAGGTCTCAGTCCATAGACGACCAGCTCCATTCCTCAGGGCTTGAGGTGAGGCTGAACATCATGGTGGAAGAGTGTGGCAGAGGAAAGTGGATCAAGACATTTTACCAAGAAGCAGAGAGAGATTAAGCTCAGAGCACCAAATATATACCCCAAAGGATTGCCTCCAATGACCCACCTCCTCCAGCCACACCTCACCTGTCTATAGTTGCCACTGAGTTGATCCCTATCAGGGGATTAATTCACGGATTGGGTCAAGGTTCTCACAACCCAATTATCTCACCTCTAAACCTTTCTGCATCATCTCACATATGAGCTTTTAGGGAACACCACATATCTAAACCATTACAATACCCATGACTTTCTCTTCTGTCCACGTGTGGCCATTTACAATTACATTCTTTGGTTACCAAAACTTGCCATCTCTCCCACTACCACACAGCAACTCCAACATCAATTTATGTTTACCATGCCAATTTTTAATTCCTTTTTTTTTTGGTGGGGGTGTTTTGGTAGCTACTCATTACTTCTTTTTTTAAAAAATATTTATTTATTTATGTATCTTTAGTTTTAGGTGGATACCTTAGTGTGTTTTTTTATGTGGTGCTGAGGATCGAACCCAGTGCCTCATGCATGCTAGGAGAGCACTCTACCACTGAGCCACCATCCCAGCCCCTCATTACTTCTTAGAAACGTGACTGTGGGTTAAAAATTACTTATCATATTTAATCCAGATTTTCTTAATTCTTGTCAGTGAGAGAATATTTAGATTATTTTATTTACCATAATGCCAGAAAAGAAAGCCTGTCCCTGTCTCTGTATCTAGGTCCCAATGTCGACCAAAGGCCCTCCTTGTTTTGATAATGCACCTGCACCATTTTTCAACTTGAATTTTAAGTTATTAATATTATTTTTCATATTTTATTGGTGCATTATAATTGTACCTAGTGGTAGGATTCATTGTTACATATTCAGACATGCACACAATATAGCAATATAATTTGGCCAACATCATTCTCCAGTGTTTCTTTTTTTTTCTCCTTCCACCCTCTTCCTGGTCCCTTTCCTTCACTCTACTGATTTCCCTTTCATTTTTATGAAAATCTAACTTGATGGGGCTGGGGCTGGGGCTCAGAGACAGAACGCTC